TCAGAGAGTGAGGAAAGCTGCCATTTTAACCAGACTTACAAAATGTATATGAGGTATCGCAAAAATTCATATGATTTGTGACGTATGTGTTTGTTTACAAATAGTTGAATCTTATTTTACTGAATAAATTGACAGGAAATGTTAAATTTTAAAAATGAGATAGTTATGGTCATTGATACATTCATTCCTTTCTGTATTTTAGCTCTAGCTGTATTACAGTGGTAATTTTTTGTGATGGCTTTGAATGTACTGCACAAAGAAAAAGCAGATAGGTACCCAGTTAATTTATAGGGTATCCATAAAGTACATAAAATAGTAACTATTTTAAATTGCATAGAACTTAATGGACCCCCCTCTGTGTGTGTGTCTGCATGTGTTTCTACAACATAAGGGTAGCTGGCTGAGCAATTGGAGGCACTAAGTGGATGTAATACATTTTGTATAAAAAATTTGTCATTGTTTTATAGTCTTTTTCATTAGTATTGTTACAAGCCCTGAAAATAATTCTTTTATGCGCTTTTTAGTATTTTATTTGTAAATCATTAATCCTTCTGTTGTTTATGATTATGCTAGTAAATATTTTTCATATTTCATTTCCTAATTTTCATTTTTTTGGTTTATATTTGTTGAAAAATACTAAGCTAGAAAGTTAAATTGAGCTTTATTTTTTTTTCCTTGCCTCTTTTTCCAACATTGGCTTATTGGATTTATATACTGCCACAGCTATGTAATTTATCTACATACTTTAGGAAACAACTGCTTGCTTCTGTAATTTGGATTTCTCAGTCTATATTTTTCTGTTTTCTATTCTTTCTTCATGTTATCCTTAATTCTCCTTTTCTAGTTTTCCATGGAGGGGTTGATCTGTTAATCCAGTAATTCAGTTTTTTATAGTATACATACAAATGGTGTGGCAGCAAAGATTGGGTTGCACATAGAGTAATTTGGATACAGTGGTAAAAGAGTGGTGGTAATGAAAATGTCAAAGGCTAAAATGAGCTGAGTGTTACGAGATGTAAAATGATTTTATTTTATTTTATTATTTTTTTTTGAGACAGGGCCTCAAGCTGTCCCCCTGGGTAGAGTGCTGTGGCTTCACTGCTCACAGCAACCTCCAACTCCTGGGCTCAAGCGAGTCTCCTGCCTCAGCCTCCCAAGTAGCGGGACCATACGCGCCTGCTACAACACCTGGCTATTTTTTGGTTGCAGCCATTATTGTTGTTTGGTGAGCCCGGGCTGGATTTGAACCCACCACTTTAGGTGTATGTGGCTGGCGCCTTAGCCGCTTGAGCCATAGGCGCTGAGCCTATAAAATGATTTTAAAACCTTTTAGTGAAGTCTGTAGTTGAGTGAATTAAGAGGGCAGGGGGAGAGGGGTAAGGTGGATGATGTAATATTACCAAATCACATAAAACAGAATTATGCAGTGACTTAGGAATAGGACTTACTATGGAGCTTTAATTTGGAGAAGAAAAAAATACCAAGATAAAACAGAGAAATGTGAGGAAACAGTAAGAAATACAACTGAAGCAAGTTTTCAGGCTTAAACAAAAGTAGTTCTCAGCATACTGCAGTATTTGAAACAAAAATAAATTTAGGAAACATGGAGTATTGGAGGAATTTAATTAAATGCTGCAAAGGGGAATAGTTCCCAAAGCTGAAAAATTTGTATTCTAAACTTGATGGCACAACCTGTAGATTCCAAAACATATTTCCTGTTTAAACTGGTGGATTCAGTACAAGATTCTGGTTCCTGTGTAGCTTGAGATTTCACATAGTCTGTAAGGTGTGCCAGACTAGAGAAATGTGTTGTATGGAGTTGTGTAGTGAGTTGAATTAGAGACTACTCATATATAAAGAATGATTGATATGAAGGGGTATGTGTAGTTAAAAATGACCAGGAATAAAAATATATAAATCATTTGTTGGTGACTAAACAAACAGTTGTAGAGGTATGGAATGGTGGAGACTTAGCAAAATGTCAGCAGTGTGGAAACCCCCAGTCTGCACACCCCATCGATGATTATGGAATGTCATAATAGCATGGGGTTTCACAGTTTAAAAAGGACAAATTGGAGTTAGATAAACAAGTGGGAGGGTATGAAACTATTCAGTATAGTTTAGAGAAAAGGACACTTATGTATAATAGTTGCAGAACTTCTCCAGTATTTGTGAAGCTGCTCAGTCAGGGCCAAAGGATAAAATTTCAAGTGAGCAGATTTTGGTTTGGTACATAAATTTGTAACATTTTAGATCAAAGATGTCTACAACAGATTGTCTTGATATTGGGAATATTAAAATAAAAGATACATGAATTGATGATTATTGTTGGGAGAATTTTTATACTACTTACTAAACAGTGGCTCTGAACTTTTAAGTTTTCTGAACCATTGCTGCAGGTTGATGAAGGTAGTGTGGAGTTGAGGGGACATTTGGGCATTATAATGTTTGATACAAGGAAAGAATGTATACAACCAATAACGAGTATTAGTTATGAAGCCTTCTTTTGTTTTGTAAAGGAACAGCTGTGAATCTATCACTTACAACAAAAGGACTAGGACATTCCCTAAACCAGTATATCCCTTGCATGTTTCTGTAATAGCTTGGCTGTAATTATTATCAGTTTGCTAGGATAACATTAACAGAAGTTCTGATTGCCAGGACTTAAGGAATGAAACATTTTGGAGACAAAACATGGAATTATGGGAGAAAATATTAATAATAAACAAGGTTCTTGAATACTAAGGTTGGAAACCAGTAGATTCAACTGAGTCATTCAGTAAGTGACTTCCATAAGTTCTTTGAGAGATGGAACATGACTTGTTTGACTTCTAATTCTCTAGAACCTAGCTTAGTCCTCCTTTCATTTGCCTTCCCATCTACCCAACCAATCAAGTATTTATTGAGGACCCACTGTGTTCCAGCCACTATTCTAAGACCCAGGGATAATAGAATCTCATGGAACTTAGAGTTATTAATCAAAGAATCACAGAGATACTTACAGAAATACAGCTTAAGTGGTAGATGCATTGTATTATCTAACTGGATGTCATTATATGAAGGCTGTTGGTTTTGTATATTTATATAGTTTTAAATCTAGTTATTGAATTTTCTGATATTTTACAACATTATTTTGGTTTCCTAAGTTTAGTAAAAGTGTTAACCTTGAAAATCATTCTCCCCCTTGATCTATTATATGACTATGGTTATTTATAATAATAGATTTTTCAATATTGAAGTATTCTTGCACTCAAGGTATAAATTATGGTTGGTCTTAGTGCATTTTTCTTTTAATATGCTGATGGATTATATTTCAGATGGTTGTATCTGAAATAACAAATTTATTTATAAAGAAATTTTATCTATGGTTTTCTTTTATGCTATTGTCAGTTTTCATATTGGTGCTGTGATCACTTCATGGTAAGAACTGGGCAGTTTCTGAATAAATTTAAATGATAATAAATTAATACTTGCTTTTTAGTTCGAACAACTGGACTAAAGGATATGTGTAATTTAGATTAACTTTTTCTGACACTCTTTGCTTAATTATTTGCTATACCTATATACATTATATAAATAATTGTATTTAAATTGCTGGTTCTTGAAAACTTCTAGAACTGCTATCATATGGTAATTTGAGATAAACACTGATTTGATACTGGACATTATTAGGCAAGATTTCATTATAAAACTAGAAGTAAAAAAGAACTTTAAGGAAGAAAGAAGGTAACGTAATAGTGTTGTCAAATCCAAGGTAATCTCTTGATTATTGTTGATTTCGTTTACTAGTCAGAGGTAAGCAAATTTTGGTAAATTTAGACAAGCAAATTGTTATTTAAGAGATGAAATTTGTAATATGACTATTGCTATCCATGAAGAAGAAAATGTATTATAGTACTTTTTTTTTTTCTTTTGACAGATTTGAGATTGATACCTAGCCTTGATAATGATAACCGCTTATCAGACAGTAGGCTTCAGTAAACATGAGTCTTTTAGTGTGCAGTAGTTTATTAAATAATTTTTAAAAGAATCTATTCTCTTTATAGGACTTGAGTCATTAGAGTTCTCTTACTTTTTTTTTTAAGAGGTGTATTTATACCCAAGTACTATAATACTGTTATTTCTTTTTAAAAGTCATTGACTTTAGGGATTTCCACTTTTCTTTTTTATATTTCACTCATTAACCCAGTGTAGTTTCATCTTGGAGACCCTCTTTCCCTTGAAAGGTCTTTGATCACCAATAGCTTTGTGATCAAAGCCAAGGTACTGTTTTTTGCTCTTTGTAATATTGGGCACTGTTGATCCACCCTGTTCTTGAATCTTTCATTTCTTAGCTTCTTTGATGCATCTCTTTCCTCTATTTCTCCTATGTACTTCCATTTCTTCTTAGTTTGAATCTTCTTTTCCTCCCCCCTTGAATGTTGCTTTCCTAAGCTCTTTCTCCCTTTACCTTCCCTAAGACATCTCTTCTCCAAGCTTTAACTAGGAAATTAGTGTCTCAAATTTAGACTTCTGCTGAACTTGCAATCTGTTGTTTATTGGACCTCTGTTTGAATATTCCAAAGATACCTAAAAATACAACAAAGTGGTCAGTTTAATCTTGTTCAGACAGATTGGTTCCAAAGTATAAAAGAGGTTTTGGTATTAGTTTTGTTTCATAGGTATTCTTGTGATAGTTGTTTGACGCTATCATTTAGAATGACTGTTCTCTTTAGTGACAGAAAAATTAGGTAAGATATGCCCATATCGTGTTAGTTAAGAGACCAGGCTCTGAAGTTAGTTTTAATAAGATTTGTTATTTGGTGGTATAAATTTTTGTGGTAGATACTAAGGCTGTAGTCTTTTTAAACATGGGATCAATTCAGAGAATGACAGAATAGATCCATAGTTCTTTGAGTTTTATCACATTATCAATGAAATCCTCCCCTGCCCTCTTTTTTCCTTCTGGACTAGCAAGAATATTTTTTGTCTAACACATTTAAAATTTTTACTTTTAACAGAAATTAGCAGAGTACGGAAAGACATGTACAATGACACATTAAATGGCAGTACAGAGAAAAGGAGTGCAGAGTTGCCTGATGCTGTGGGACCTATTGTTCAGTTACAAGAGAAACTTTATGTGCCTGTAAAAGAATATCCAGATGTAAGTATATTTTGTTGTTTTATTCAATTTTTTTTGCTTCACATATTTGGGGAAGAGATATATTTGGTGGTAAATACTCAAGCATTAGCCACTTTAAAAAAAGTTCGTGTGAGGAACTGTGAGTTATAAATAATTTGGCATGGATAATTAAACATTTTTTCTCTAAATATGTTTCTATTTGATTGCTGCTATGTTGCTTTGGAAATGCATGGTATAGATGGTTTTGGATTTCAGAACAAAGTCAGGAATTATGGAGAGGGCATTGGGCTGAGTGTTCAAAGAGTACCAAATGCAGTCCCCCTGCTCATCTTTAATCTGACCTTAGAGAAGCCAGAGCTTGGGTCACGATGTCCTTTCTGTAAAATGAGGATGTTGGACTATAACATTCCATATAGCTCTAAAATTTTTATAAAAACTGTTGTTTATAATCTGAAATTTTTTTCCCCTCTTAGTCCATTGCTGAACTGTTCTCTACAAGCATCTTTTTGCAAACAGCCTCCTTGTCCTGTATCAGTCAATTTCTAAATAAATCCAGGTTCTTTGCCTTTCATTCAAAACCCCTGAAAATGATAATGGTCCATTCTATTTCTCTGACCTCATCTTAAATAATTTTCCCTCTTCTTCATTACACTGTAGCCACGTTGGCCTTTTGGCTTTTTGAGCAAATCAAGTCTGCTCTAGCCCTAGGACCTTTTTGTTAGTTGTACTCTTACCTCTACTGTCTAGCTTCTTCTTGTCGTTAAGAATTTAGCTTAAATGTCACTTCAGAGAGGCCTTCCCTGACCTTATTTAAAAGTTACCTAGCTGCTCATTGTTTCACGTAAGTCTCCTTTTTTCTCTAAACTAGCATTTATCTGGTATTTTTCTGGTGGCATTTATTTATTTTTCTATCTCGCCCCACCAGAATATAAGGTATATAAACAAGAATGTTGTTATTCACTGCTTTACCCCCCCCATAGTATTGTCACAAAACAGACCACCGAATAAATAAAAGAAATTGGTGGCATTTTGCTAGGTTTCAGAGGACTTTTCTGAAAGCAAACAAAAGAAGAGTTAATATTATGGTGTCAGAAATGTGATTTGTGCTCTCAGATTCATTGGTTATATAGACAGAATACTGGTCTGCAGATGGAGAAATAAATGTCTTTAAGTTCAGTTAATGGAAAAAAGCCTTGGTATTTCACTATTTGTATTTCTGATATGATCTTCTTTAAAGCCTATGCAGTCATTCTATTTTTGTAAGTAAGGTAACAAATAGTACTGGATAATGTGGGCAAAACAAAAGTTTGTTGGAAGATTATTGGGTACTGTGAAGAATTAAAAATAGATGGAAAACAAAAGCCAGGAGCTAGGGCATCTCTGAGAACTTCAGCAACAGGGGTTTGTAGACCTTTCTCTGTCAAAAGCCTTGCACATAACTTGGCATCAAAGTCTCCCAGACTTTTATCTTCAAATTTCAGATTCTTACAAAAGAGAATGTGTTTTGAGTCAATTTGCCATATCTAGAGAAGTGTTACCTACCATAACCTAGATAGGACCACCATGGGCCCACCCTAGATATAAAGGAATATTACTAGAAATGGGAAATTATGATTTGGGTAGCTTTCCTAATTGTCTACTACTGTTTGGTGTTTTAGTATCCCCTAAAAGATAGCAGCTTTTCATCTGCTTGTTTAAACCTTAAAGGATAACATTTCAGCAATAGTCATTTACACAGAATATGTAAGATCATAAGACCTTACCAGAAAATATAACCTGGTTCTGTCTGGATCTATTGGGTTCTCTCTTTCCCTCTCTTTTCCTCCCCCTCCCTCTCTCTCTCCCTTGCTCTTCTTCTCCCTCCCTCTCTTCCTCTCCCCCTTACCCTCTCCCCCCTTTCTTCTCCCCACTTTTTTCTCTCCTCCTCTAATCATGTTCCATACAGTCTTGTAAGTCAGGGCTTGAGTCTAGAGGGCACTTTTCCCCTATACTCCTTTCCTCCTTCTGTTAGTTGTGACTCAATTGCTCTGGTAAGCTATGGTTGGTTGCTGGTAGGTATGGGAGCATAACGTTGTCTAGATTAGTAGTTTTCAATGTAGCATGATCCCTAGACTATAGTATCTATACCTTCCGGGAACTTGCACATGTTCAAGCTCCATTCCAGACCTGTTGAATTAGAAACTTCGGGGGTGAGGCCTAATTACCCTTTTAACAAACCTTACAAGATGATTCTGATGCATGCTAAAGTTTGAGAATGACTATACTCTATTTATGTTGTTAGAATAAGCTAGGTTAACAGGTAGATGATCCCATATATGGTCATTTTGCCAGGCATTGCTTCAGGAGTTGGGTAAAGTGATGAACTTAATAGTGTCTCTGCTCCCATGAAATGAGCATTTCAGTGGCAGCAACAGACAGTAAACAAATGATGAACACAAACTTTTAGGTGTAGTCAGTGCTATGGAGAAACACAAAGTAGGGCAAACAGGTGAATAGGGATTATGAGTGGTGGGAGGTGTTCATTTTTAAGGGTAACCAGAGAAGGAATCTCTTACAAGATGGTGGGAATGGAGAGAAAAGAAGAGAATGATGAGGAGGAAGGCAGGAAAACCATCTGGGGAGAAACATGTCAGGCAGAGTGAATAGCAAGTGCAGTGGCTCAGGCATTAGTATGCTTGGGTTCTGTGGGAAGATGTGAGATTGAGGAGTTAGTGGGGCAGTGTAGCACAGTAGTCAGAAGTACCAATTCAGACCCATACTTCTGTACAGTTCAGTCACTTATTTTGTGCAAATTGCTTTTTATTCTTGGTCCTTAGTTTTCTCCTTTCTGTAATGGAGATAAGTTTCTCACAAGGTTTTGAAGACTAAACATATGCTTAGGGAACATATGCTTATTTTCTTTGTTTATAAAGTTACATGGTCCACCTCATAGGATTTTTAAGACTAAATGAGTTAATGTGTGTTAAGTACCTGGAAAATACCTTTATGCTGTGTAAATGTCACAAGGATATCAGGTCCATGAGGGGAGAAATTTATGTTTTTGTTTTTTATTCCCCCAGCACTGTATTCCCAGTTCTTAGACTCATGTGTGGTAAATGGTAGATGCACAATAAATATTTGTTGTGCAGGGCAGCACCTGTGGCTCAAAGGAGTAGGGTGCCAGCCCCATATACTAGAGGTGGCGGGTTCAAACCCGGCCCCGGCCAAAACAAAAAAAAGTTGTTGTACATATTTGTGTGGAACTCATTCTTTCAAATATCAAAATATTGTGAAACCCTTTTTTTCTTTAAACCTTTTGTCTTTTGCATTTGCACATAGCTCGCTTTTTATTGAAGTCAGTGTTAAGTTGGAGGTAGTATTTTGGTCTTGGCTATGAAGGCACGTTAGATTCAGTGTCAGAGAAATGAGGTAGTGCTGAATAATGAATGCCCTTCACAAGGCATTGAGCCATTATGTCTTAATTGTGTGAGAATGAGAAGCTAATATGAAGTAGCCCATTGAAAAAATACTGTTGTTTTTTGGTAAAAAATTTATATTAATATTTATTAGTAAATTTACCTCTACTGTGTACCAAATATATCCTGAGTGGGAATATTAATTTAGTTGAAAAAAACTTTTATTCGATATAGTCAAGTTAGTGGGTTTTTGAGCCATATGGGCCTGGGTTAAGAATCTTGTTTTAACCCTTTACTGTGGTGGTATTTGTCAGCAATTGCCACACATCCTAAAATTCAGTGGCTTAAAATAATGTGTTTATTTGTGTACTCATTGGCTTGTATATTGACCGAGCTCCTGCTGATCCAGGCTAGGACTAGGTCGATGTAGGCCAGCTATGGGTAGGCTTAGATCTTCTCTATTTATGTTCCTGCTGGACCCAGGTTGAATATGAGGCAGTGGCTGCTCCGGGCACATTCTTAACCATGACTGATCACTGGAATGCCAGAGCCAAGCTAAATGGCATAAGTATGTGTTAAGTCCACTGTGGACATTTGGCAAGATCTAGAGGTATTTTTGGTTGGCTAAATTTGGGAGGGGGTACTACTGGCATCTAGTTAGTAGGGGCCAGGGATGCTTTGCTAAACATTCTACACTACACAGGACATCCTCCTCCCACAGGGAATCATCAGCCCCAAAAGTCAGTAGTGCTGAGGTTGAGTAATTGTATTTGCCGTATCAAGATAACTCCATCCACAATGAGCAGGGGACTATAACAGTTGAGATTATTACATTGACTTTGAGCATATGGTTACTTTCTTTGTTTTTAAAGTTACAATGGTCCACCTCATAGCATTGTTCAGGTAGGATTTGTTGGGAGCAGTAGAGATAACAAATGTATGGCACCTGAGAGAGCAGACACTTAGTATGGTTTGGGTGATAATGAAGAAGAAAAAAACATCTTATTCTTGAAGGCCCTCTCACAGTCTTGTATAAAAGATAAAATGCAGTATATTAAATTGTTTAATACTTTCATCAGGCATCAGAGAATGATTATATAAGTAAAAATGATTATATAAGAAAGATTATATAAGTAAAAAGTGTCATGTTTCACATGAGTCAGGAATAATTTTGTTGCAATAATTTCGAGTTGTTTCTGTTTTGTAAGATCTGCCAGAGTAGTTGATGAGTAACAAATATTGACAAGGTCTTGCTGATTAGGATCTGAATTTTCCTGTATATACATAAACAGATTGCTAAACTGTTAGCTTGGGAAATAATTTCATGATTCAGTTTTAGTGAAACTTTTTCTAAGGTTTTTAACTGAGTGTAACTGATTTTTTAAAATAGGTTTTCATTTTGGGTAATGGCCTTGAAAAGCATCTCTCACTAGACCATCATGATCACACATATTGTCAAAGAGTTTTTAAGATGTATGAGTGTCTTCTCAAATATCTTTTCTCCCAGCTTGTAGGATCCTAGCCTGGCAATGAGTTATTTATACATCATATAATAATCTACATTTATGGTGGTGCATGAGTTGCTTTACCATTTAATTTTCCTATGTTTGCAGAAAAAAATTTGGC